GAAATCCATTTCACTTAGAAAAACGTAGTTTTTGGTCGGTTTTGGTTAGTGTCTGCTTCTTTCTTAGTTTGTTATACACAGAACACAGAAACCGGAAAAACTAGTTTGGACTAAAATCAGACTTAAGCGTTAAGAGATAAGGCCGAGGATACAACTTAACGCATGGAATCTCTTAAAGGCAAAGGCGAATTTGTGTTAAAGAACTTCGTTTTGCGTGTACCAACGGGCCCTACCTAGTAGCACCATTAGCGGGTTCGTGGATAATCCTATCGTTATTATATAAAATGGGTAGGAGAAATATACAATTTTATTGTGAACTTTTCCGGTAACGACAGTGTCTATTTTTGAGGAATGTTTTATTTATTCAATTGAATAAATTTGGAATAAGAATCAAATTTCTCATTAGTTCAAAAGGCGGTACCCAACCTTACCAATTAAAAACATTTTGTTATTGCAGCTAACCTTATTATTTCTTGAAATCTATGACATATACGGAGGCATATAACGTATCCAATTTGTTTATAACTTGAAACTTATCGTATCGTCCCAGTTCACTTTTAGGTTAAGGCCGACTTGTGGATTTCAATTTTGTTTTCCTTTTCTGTTTTCAATAAAGACACGAGTAATGATTAAAATAGTAATGCTGTCACCGACATATTAGACAATTTTTCTGCTTTTCACAAAACTTCTGGATTCCTCGTGCGTCGGTTATTCTTGAAACAAACTTTCGCTAATCATCCTGTTGGCTTCTTCAGAGCTTAATTGAAACTGTGAAGAAGCCGACAGGATGATTGGCGAAACGTCAGCAAGTTTGATTCAACATTCAACAGAAGTTTTGTGAAAAGTATTATCGTAGCCTGTGGAAGTTTCTTTGAAAAAGAAAATTTTTCTATCTGTTCAGTCTGTCAATCGTCATTCAAGTTGTTCCTGTGAAATGCAATATTGAAATGGGCAAGCCAATAATTTTTTCCCAGTTCCAGGTAATTTTCTTGGCAGAATCCGGCCACAATCTTTCTAAAGATGCCAAAAAATCTATGACGATGTTCTGCAATTTGATTGAAATGACCCCGGGGAGCCAGAACGGTAACCAGCAACTCCTTTTAGCGCGGAAAATACTTCACCGAAAATCGGAATCAATTGTGGCGGGTGGAGTTTTGGTCAATCGCGCACTCATATTTGTTGTAATTTCCACGGTGTGCACGTATCTCGTAGTTGCCGTACAGATCACGTAAACGAAATAAGTATTAAACGTAAGAAAATCTGACAATTGAAATATTCTGTTTCTTAGCTTTGATTATAGAAACCCATTTAAGTACTAGAACTAAGTATAATTTTATATCTAAATACATAAATAAATAAATATTATTTATTTATACTATGTAGCTGCCTAAGAGTAGCCACTTTTTCAATAGGATTATATGATAAACTTTTAAACCATTAAAAATGCAAACAATGCCCTCAAACAACCAAAATTATATTATCGGAGCTTTCAAATTAAATTATTTGTTATGATGAAATTTTATAATTATGAAATTAGTTTACCTTTTTAAAAATATTTCTAAAAAACACAACAAAGTGTTGATTGAAACTGGAACACCCTTAAAAAAAGTTCTACAAATTGTCTGAAATAAATTTAGATAGCATATACTAAAATCAAAAAATTTGGTTTTTCTAAAGTATTTCTTAGTGAACCTCTTATAATTTCATTTTGATTATGCATCTAAATATACAACTTATGCTATTGAATCCACCCTGTATCTTACGCCGTTTAAAAGTTACCCATATGATCCTACTGAAAAAGTGTCCATCTTGTATATTTATGAATTTTCCAATTTGAAAAACTGAACTCGTCAAACTGCCTCTAAAATTTTTATTAATAGAGCCCCAAAAAGTTAGTAGATTATCTTGCATAGAAAATCAATTTTGTATGGAGAGCTAAGTAAATTGTTATTAGTATTTTAAAAACTTATCTTGCAACTCCCTCATTAGCGGTGGAATAAAAACAATTTTGTGACATCGTAACAACATTTTTTTTTAGAATTACCTTTATTATTTATTATTTTATTATTTTATAACTTTTATTCTTGGAAAACGTCAAAAATTACTCTCACTCTACGCCCCCAGTTTTACAAAATTGAATTCCTCTTAAGTAAATTAATAATAAATTTTGGCTAAATTAAATAGATAATAATAATGAACCCAACAAATATAAGAATGCATTTGTAGTGAAATGATTGAAATGCGAGGTTTTTTGGCTGTAATTTCTTTAAACTACATTATAATCTCACTCTGTTAATTAGTTATAAGAATTCGAGCCATTCTAGAATGATCATTATAAGCTTTTAATTCAGGCTCGCAAACACAGTCCACAGGCTAACGAACTTACCTTAACTCATATTAATATCAAAAGTAAATTTCCGACCATGCTATCTGATCTCAGCCACTGCAACTCATTGTTCATTTTTCATTGTCTTAAACCCTATGAAAATTTAAATTATATTTTTTATTTATATTTTTGATCCGCTCTTCTGCAGCAGGTTTTTAATTATAGTGAAAGACATGCCTTAAGATTAAATGCGGTTAAAACTCAGGTGCTACTCTTTGCTCGCGACTTTGCAATGCACTTCCTGAAAAGATACTTGCATCCAGAGACAAATGGTGAACCCCTGTCGTTTGCTACCAAAGCCAGAAATTTTGGAGCAACGGTGGACCTTTTACTTAAGGCTCTATACGCCAATAAGCATGCAACCATGCTCTTTCCGAGAGGTGGTTTACCTGTAATGATTGGGTTTTTCGTCTTTTAATTATTTACAAAATTATTTCAATATTTTTTTAAATAATAATTACTTTCTATTTCTTTTCTCTTGTTACAAATTGTCCTGTCTGATTAATTGTGTTAGGTTAAAATTTGAGATAAATACAAATAAATTTTAATGCAAACAAATCAATAAATCAATGTTCAATCACAGAAAATGAAATGATGATGCGAATAAATAACCTAAAAATGATTTCACACATTGATTCGGATGAAATTCCAGTACAACAGCTCTGACATCAAGTAACTTTAATATTTCAGACTAATAAATATCTATAATAAATAAATCATTCAGTTATAGATCTTTAACTCTATCTCAAAAACATTGAAAAATGTAATAAATTACGTTTAAATGCATATTTTGATCCTTTTTTTTTCAGAAAATCAATATTGTTAATAAATTGGCTTAATTTTACACGTCATATAGACCTCACAGTCTAAACATTCACAATGCCCTCAGTAGCTATTCTCGAACAATGAGACTTGGTGTTCCCCAGGGAACAGTGATTGGCCTTTAAAATCAAGGTATGTCAATGAGTTATTTAGCTTAGTACTCAAGTAGCAGCCATTAATGGAAGAAAATAGTCTGAATTAAAAATGAAAGCTGAAGAGAAAATGAAACATGCAAACAGTTGGTACGATACGAACTACTTGAACAATGAATAAATGAATAAATAACTTTCTCGTTTTCTCAATAATTACCATCCCATTACCGACATAACAGTTCATAAAGTTAGAATGTTAAAATTGTGGGCACTGCGAATTGTAAGCTAAAAATAAATAAAACCAATAAAATCACAAAATCAAAAAAGATATACATTCAAATTTAGTAGCATATTAAATACTCCTCTAATAATAACTATACATATGTAATGTACTGTGCGCTAGGTACGCTAGTGGTGCAGCCAGTGAAGGCATAATTAAAGGTTTGATTATTACATCAAAATATGTCTTAAAGGTGATGTTAAAGTGAGTCATGCTCTAGCATAAATTTGTTTAATGATGTCAAATTATAACAAATTAATCAATTGTGCAGAAAATCAGAGGTAAGATTTGTCTTGAAAAATCAAATACAATTGTATAAAGTAACACAAAATATTAGGATTCATGCACAACTGGTTTCTATATACATTATACTGGACTAAGTAGATGTCCAAAATATATTTTGCATATTCTACTAATTTTTTCTAACAAATTACCTATTGAAATAAAAGAATACCATTTCAAAAAATTAAAATAAATTCCAGGAGTGTCTGGCCATAGGTTTATTTTTATGTATTTTGTGTATAACTCATTGTCATTTGTATCTTGCAGATAATACTCACTAAATGTTTAAATTTTTAAAAATTAGTGTAATAAATAGTCCATAATAAAATATTTAGAAGTTGAAGTTTGAAAAAATTTTTCTCACCATCTCAAAGTGCAGCAAAGCAAAATTTACGTAAAAGTAAACAGTGACCATTCAAATTATCCGGCGACAGTGATATGCAGGTTTCAAAACAGAAACGCGATTGGCGCTACTTTATTTTAATATCATTATGATATCAGAGTGGGGAAAAATTCAAGCAATTTCGGTGAATTATATATATACTCCAAAAATAGCAAATAAACCACAGTTGCTAAAAAAGTGAAGGGTTTAGTGGTCACCTATCCGATAACAAAATGATGAACGTTTGGCTATACCCGGCGGTACTAGTTCTATTTGCGGTATTGCTGTTCTATATCTACGTAGCAATAAAGCAAACCTACTGGAAAAGGCGAAACGTGGACTACGTGAAACCAAGCCCGATATTTGGAAGCTTCTTTCCTGTATTCTCGCTGAAAAAATCTGTCGGGCAATGGTTGAAAGACTTGTACTTTCAAATCGGCGAAAAAGATTTCATTGGTTTTTACGTATTCGGTGAACCGTACATATTGTTGAAATCTCCGAGGTTGATTAAAAGTGTGTTACAAAAGGATTTTTCGCATTTTGAAAACCGAACGATAAAAGGCCCCGAAAACGACGAATTTCTTTCGAGCTTTATGTTCTGGGTGACCAAGGATTATTGGAAGAAAATCCGTTCGAAAGTGAGCCCGGTTTTTTCTTCGGGAAAATTGAGGCTCATGTTTAATTCGACCATGATCGAGGCAAACAATATGACAGACTATTTAAGCAAACATATCGTCCATGGGAAGGCTACCGACGCAAAAGAAGTGTGCGCGAAATATTCAACTGCGGTTGTAGCCAGGTGCGCTTTTGGGATTGACGCAAAATGTTTCGAGAATGAAAACTCGGAATTCAGGCGGATTAGCAAAGATCTATTTGATCTGAGGTAAGTCAACGGAGTTCCTAATATAACCTAAATAACTCCCAGTAAAAATTGTCAATTTCTTTATCCAAAGGTAACATGATCAAAATGTTTCATTTTTTTGTTTTGAGATATTCAAAATGGTAAAAGCAAAATTAAGTTCGATACTGTAACTAACAGTTTCTCACATGGGAGAAAAAGCGTATAATTGGTTATATACTTTCGTATATGACGGTTTCTTGAGTGGAAATCAAAGCTATATTATACATTGTCTTTCTAAACAACGATGTCCACACATACAAATGACAGGTGTAATTGGTTGGTCTTAACATGTTGCTAGTAGTCATATAGATGAAATAACAAGTACATCTCAATTTATGCACTGTATGAAATTTTGCAGCCAATATGCAAGCTAAAAGTGACTAAATAGAAACACTTTTGCTTTCTCCATCTAATTTAGCAGAATTATTTTTGCATCTTAGTCTGATTTTGCAACGCTTCCAAATTTTCTTCCATTCGGATTCGTATGAATGGGTGGATTCGCAAGTATCAATTTTGGTTTTGTCTCTGTTTGTTCTGAAAACAACTAAAAAATCATAAGGTTCTTAAAGTTTTAAAAATTATATCCAAGTCTAACGTTTCAGACTCGATAACACTGTCCGGCAACTGATGAACTGGTTTGCATCGTCAATTGCAAATTATTGGAGAATTGCTTTAGTAAGTGCCGAGACTTTGACGACTTTGACTAATATATTCAGTAGCGCCGTGAAGCAAAGGTCAGAAAACATTCCGGCCCAAAAAGCGAGAGATTTTATTGATTTAATGTTGCAACTTAAAAAGGACAATCAAAACGACGTTGCCCTAAGTAAGTAACGACGGATCTCGATTTGCATTATACGTGGTCCTGCCTTAATGCGATTGCTTAAAAAACGTTTTGAACAGAATGACTTTACATCTGAGTTGTGTGTACGGGATATTTTTTCTATTTTGGAATTCAGCAACTAACCAAATTTCCACATTTTAAGTATCTTAAAAAAATGAAGATACAATTTTACTTAAGGTACTGAAGATTTTTTTTTGTATATGAGGGGTGTTTTTTTTCGATGTGTAGAACTTTAAGTTGCAATAAAACAACGATGGATTATTCGATTGACATGAATTTTATTTATCCGATAGATAATCTTGTGGCATTACATTTTAAACATGACCTCTGGCATATGACCGCCACGGCTGGCGCGGATGTAGTCCAATTTTCGATGACTTTTTCCAACATTTGTAGCCGTATATCGGAAATAACACGGCGAATGTTGTCTTCCAAATGGTCAAGCGTTGGTGGCTTATCCGCATAGACCAATGACTTTACATCGCCCCACAGAAAGTAGTCTAACGGTGTTAAATCACAAGATCTTGAAGGCCAATTCACAGGTCCAAAACGTGAAATTAGGCGGTCACCAAACGTGTCTTTCAACAAATCGATTGTGACATGAGCTGTGTGACATGTTGCGCCGTCTTGTTGAAACCACATCTCCTGGACATCATGGTTATTCAATTCAGGAATGAAATCACCATTGACTGTAACGTTCTGGCCATCATCGTTTTTGAAGAAGTACCGAACAATGATTCCACCAGCCCATAAAGCGCACGAAACAGTCAGTTTTTCTGGATGTAACGGTGTTTCGACATACACTTCAGGATTAGCTTCGCTCCAAATGCGGCAGTTTTGTTTGTTGACGTAGCCATTCAAACAGAAGGGCGCTTCATCGCTAAACAAAATTCGCTTATGAAAATCGGGAACAACAACATTCTCGTTTTGGGCCCATCCGACGAAATTACGCCTTACTTGATGATCGTTTGGCTTCAATTCTTGCACGAGTTGGATTTTGTAAGCAGGTAAACCAAGATCCTTCCGTAAAATCTTCCATACAGTGGATGGACTCAGATTCAATTCCTGTGCTCGATGGCGGAAGGGCTCGTTCGGGTCTTCCTCTACCTCTACAGCAGCAATAGCTTCTTCTGTACGCACCGTACGGCGTCTCTGGGGATGCGAGTTATCAATAAGAGTAAACGTGGTGCGAAAACGTTTCATGGTTAATCGAATTAACTGCTCTGATGGACGATTTTCTCGACGATAAAGTGGACATAGTACGATTTGCAAGTGTTGTTCAGGCGTGAGTCTATTCATGATGAATTGCCAAACCAAACTGAGAATAAATCGCTTGACAGCTGTTAAATCGGTCGCCATCTTGAACAGTAATACCAACGTAAAGTTCTATACATCGAAAAAAAACACCCATTATAAACAAAATCCGAAAAATTATCAGAATATAGGGAAAATCCTCAACCTACAAAAAAATTTGGTTTTTCATTCCTCGTAAAATTCGAAGTAAGATATGTAGTTTGTAATATAATGATTATAGATTATGTGTCAATTTTAATTAATTAAAGATTTGATGTTAGTGAAGGTAATTTGATAGATTAGTTATCGCAAATTGTGGCCAATGTATATATGCCAACCATATTTTATTTTACAATCGCATTATTACAGATACTTGTATAATTCTATTTTTTTAACAAAATTAGACCTTAGTTCTTACCGTTAATATCCAAACAGCTGAGCCCAGATTGCTGGCACAAGCAATACAGATTTTCGCAGCCGGCTTTGAAACTGTGAACAGTTCACTCGCTTACACTATTCATGAGCTCGCCATTAACCCAAGCATCCAAGAAAGGCTCAGAGAGGAAATAAAAGAAACCATAGCAAAATATAATGGGGAAATCACATACGAAGCTATTCAAGAAATGAAATATCTGGATATGTGCTTTAGTGGTAAGTAACTTCAAAGAATACTTCATACAGTTCACGAGACAAAAAAATCAAGGAAAGTAATTGCAAACGTAGATCAACAAATGCTTACTACAAATTTTACTTGTCTCGTCTTCAATCGGTAGCAAATATTAAAAAAGGCAGTACCGTAGTTTTTAATGAGTTTGATATCTTTTGGACTTTCTTGACATATGTTTTATGGATTGCAAAAGTACTAGGAACTGTACTAAAAACTGTTAAAGTCAAGTTACAATAAGTCGATATGCCCTGCATAAGTTATCGTTTTTAGAAACTTTAAGAAAATATCCAGTGTTGCCATTTTTGGACAGAAGGTGTACCAAAGATTACGTGCTCCCGGGAACAAACGTATTTATTAAAGAGGGTATACCGGTTCTAGTACCAATGATGGGAATTCATAGTGACCCAAAGTTTTATCCAGATCCCGACACTTATGACCCGGAAAGGTTTAAGGATAAGAGTGTTTACAATACCGATGGATTTAACTATTTTCCTTTTGGCGAAGGACCCAGAAGTTGTATTGGTTTGTACTTTATGTTTTGATATAATAGTAATGGCATCCCTTATAATATTCCTTATCTACGAACCCACATCATAACACACTTTATTCTGTTTGAGTTAATAAACTGAATTATCGCATTGGAGATCCGTTGATTATATCACTATAGAGTTATAAAATTGTTGCTATTATTAACTCATTTTTACGGAAGGGAATAGAGCAATCTTTAAAAATTATTATTTTTGTTTGGAATTTTTCGCGGCAATGGACACTTTCTGGACAATTTCTTCTTCTATGTCCAATGGAAGATCTGATTCACTCATTTTGATTACTTTTTTACCCCTTCTTCTATGCTATAATGTGAATTACAGCGTTTCTGATTTACGTCATATTTTGGTAAATATTTCTATTTCTATTCTCTTATTCTTTCGAACTCTGTTTTCTTCGTTTGTTTTTTTTGATCACTTCAATTTTTTTTAATTGATTGATTTTTGCAGGCGAGCGATTTGGTCTGTTGACTATCAAACTGGGCTTTGTTAAAATTCTGTCGCAATTTGAAGTCAAAACGAACCAGGAGACGCAGCATCCATTGAATTTCGAAGCCAAAAGTTTTCTCCTGCTCACCCGTAAAGGAGTGCCGCTGACTTTCGTGCCACTGAAAGACAAACAATTATAGAGCACTAAGCACGCATACAGCAAGAACTCAATAATGTTAGTAAAGTAGAGTAAAGCATCTGTTGCTGAAATTATAAAAAATGTGTTATTAATGTTTTCTTTTTTTAACTGTAAGTTTATAGGATACAAGAACTAACATTTGGTTTCCTTTATTAGTGATTTTATAATAAAAACTTATTAAAATAGATATTTTATTATTTTTCTTTAACCGCTGTGGAACTTTAAAACTACAAACGGTTATCTGTGGATCTTCCGAGAAAATTATGATTGTTGTTACATTAGAAATTTCACAAATTACAAGTTTCAATTTCACAAAATTAATACCTGCCGAAACAAACTGTACTATTCTAAATTATTTGCTCAATTTTGTCGTTATTTTCTTAAAAATGTTGTAATTTAATAAGTAACAGCCTTTAGAAAATAAGAGTAAAAATAGCAATTGCAATCTAATTTTCAGTTTTGACAAGTGTACGAGCGTTAATTGTGATGTAGTGAATTAAAGTTAATTCATTTGTCAGTTCAATTTTAAACAGGCGAGTTCGACCAGAAATTTAGAATTACTAGAATTATTGCGAAATGCAATTATCAAACTCAAAATGCAAACTCTAATTTACCCCGTGAAACTAATAGAAAAAGTAGGCAATAATTGTACAAAACGCTTGGCCTTGCCGGAAAAGAACTCAATAACTCTTGTATTTTAAATTGAACTGGGGTCATTATTACATCATTCTATCACCAGTGTTTGGTAAACAATAGATTCAAAATATTCGAATTACAATAAATAAGTCTGTTCTTACAACTACTCAAAGTTAGCACCGATACATCAGAATGGAAATGACAATACTAATTTAAAGTAATGTCAAATGGGAGCAAAGAATGATTGTCAAAGTTGCAATAATTGTACAGGCTGTCCTATTTTCGTTGATCAAAAATATAATAAGTTGCAACGCCTGTTAATACGCGTAAGTGTATGTGCGTTCCACTCTCAGAATAAGTATATGATGTCAGACCAGAAATTAATTTTTGTTTTTATCAATGGAAAAGCTAGTATATTATTTTATGGTATCATGTAGAATAAAGTGGGCTTGTCAAACATATATAGTTGGGTAAATTTATTTTTAAAAATAACAGCAATTTTAAAATATATAGTGTCCAATACATCATATTAATTTAAAGCAAAATAAAGAGTGTACTTACTATATTGGTGGGTAAAAATATAAAGAAAAATATAAATATACATTTACTTTTATTAATTCAAATTAATTTTAAAAAATAAAAAAATTATTTGTATAATTTAATTAAACGCGCTCTAACTGCCAAACACTTTGAGCCACTGGGTTTCACATAAAATTTTAGCTCTAGAATTTGTGGTAGAAAATTTGCCATCACTTCCAGTTCTCTCACCCTGCAGCTGCACAAGTTACCAATTGTCGGCCACAAATCTGTTGTACAGGGTGTTTTTTAATCGAATTTCAATAATTAATGAGGCGTTTTTTGGGTCCATTTTAAAAGGAAACGTCTTAACTTTTGAGATACAGAGTGGCAAAGTTTTCAAAAATAAAATTATTATTTTTAATATCTGTGATGACACTTTAGATATTTTAATGAAATTTGGCACACAAATACCATGTATCAAGAGGTATTACTGAGTGTACCACATTTTTTTTTAAATACACCAGTAGCGGGCGTACAAAATTTCACTTGTCTATTGATTTTCTTTTAAAATAAAAATTATTCCTACAATTTAAAATCATTTCTAAACAAATTTAATGTCTTGACTTTGTTCAATCCAACGGACGGTTTTTGCTTAAAAAATAAAACCCTCTTCTCTGCATGGTTATAGCAATAGCGTTAATAGGACAGCATGCAGATAAATTAGTTTTCATTTTTAAGTGAAAATCGTGCGTCGGACTAAAAAAAAAATTGATAAAGGCACGGTGTTGCCGAAACAGCTGTCATTTAAATATATTTATGTGAAAATCTGAACAACGTTTGTTCTTATTTAACTAAAAAAAAAGTAAAAGATCAAACCTACTCATAAATATGTATTTGTCTCGAAAGTTAAGACGTTTAGGGCATATTTTCATATGAAGTTTTCTTTTTATTGAATTGACATTCAATTATAAAACACCTTGAATATATAATGAAAGTACACAAAATATTCTTCTGGACGAAAAAATGATCCAATTCCCATTCCTCCATTTACTTGATACTTCCAATAAAATCGTCCACGAATTTGCTAACAAATATCGACATTCGTAGACAAGAAACGGCAGCTCTTCTTTCTCCAATAGGATAGAATCTGCTTTAACCGAACTTGAAGAAACCAATAGTTCGAATAAATCGGGAAAGTGCAAATAAAAACAAAACGGAACATGAAGGATTCTCGAAAAGAAATAAATGATTCGATGAACGAGGCGAGGCGAGTAAGTACAAGTGGAGTTTATTTAAGCCATTAGTTCAACTGATTATTTTACACAGGAGCTTACGCTCAGCGATTATCCGAAAGAATGGGTGTTTGCATTTGCCGCACACTGGAGGTTTTAGCGAAATTAACGACTTTTTAAAGAATCATTTTCTTCGCCGCAGAGGTAGCTCAAATATTCCATTAGAAAAGGTTTTCGTAATACTCCATATAAACTTGGAGTGACTGCACCATAGTTATGCATTAATTAAAATCAAGTCGGTAATAATGTAGATCATAATGGTAGGCCCTATTTTGTGATAAATTCCTGCCAAATGTATGGGAACATAAATATTGTCCTAACAGTTTTAAAATTGGGAAATGAATGTTTTCGGTAAATTTCAGCCAAGAATCGTATTTTGAAGTGTTCAATTCTGGCGGTCCCGGCACACATCACTCAGTATTCCTGTATTCATAAAAATAGCCAGATCTATGAGGTCAGCGTTTTGTGTGAATCTATAAAACCTTAGTTTCAAGTTCGAGTTGGAATTCTTGTTGTACCTGTTGCTATAGAAATATGTAATTTTGGCATTTATTGTGAAAATAAAGTTTAGAAAAACCGCCTCTTCGTTGCTTGAACATGCCGATAGTATAGTATAGTATAAGGGGTGTTTCTTTTTCGATGTATAAAACTTTAAGTTGCAATAAAACAACGATGGATTATTCGATTGACATGAATTTTATTTATCCGAATGATAATCTTGTCGCATTACATTTTAAATATGATTTCTGGCATATGACCGCCACGGCTGGTGCGGATGTAGTCCAATCTGGCAATAACACGGCGAATATTGTCTTCCAAATGGTCAAGCGTTTGTGGCGGTGCGGTGTTAAATCACAAAATCTTGGAGGCCAATTCACAGTCCAAAACGTGAAATTAGGTGGTCACCAAACGTGTCTTTCAATAAATCGATTGTGGCACAAGCTGTGTGACATATTGTGCCGTCTTGTTGAAACCACATCTCTTGGACATCATGGTTATTCACTTCAGGAATGAAAGAGTTAGTAATCATAGCTCCATACCATATCACCATTGACTGTAACGTTCTGGCCATCATCGTTTTTGAAGAAGTACGGACCAATGATTCCACCAGCCTATAAAGAGCACCAAACAGTCAGTTTTTCTGGATGTAATGGGGTTTCGACATACACTTGAGGATTAGCTTCGCTCCAAATGCGGCAGTTTTGTTTGTTGACGTAGCCATTCAACCAGAAGTGCGCTTCATCGCTAAACAAAATTCACTTATGAAAATCGGGAACGACGGCAATCTCGTTTTGGGCCCATTCGACGAATCTACGCCTTACTTGATGATCGTTTGGCTTCAATTCTTGCACGAGTTGGATTTTGTAAGCACGTAAACCAAGATCCTTCCGCAAAATCTTCCATAAAGTGGATGGACACAGATCCAATTCCTGTGCTCGATGGCGAATGGACTCATTCGGGTCTTCTTCAATGCTACGCTCTACAGCAGCAATAGCTTCTTTTGTACGCACCGTACGGCGTCTCTGGGGATGCGAGTTATCAATAATAGTAAACGGGGTGCGAAAACTTTCTATGGTTAATCGAATTAACTGCTCTGATGGACGATTTCGTCTACGATAAAATGGACGTAGTGCGCGATACGTATTCGGCACAGAACCATTATTTTCGAAATAAAATTGCACTATTTGCAAGCGTTGTTCAGGCGTGAGTCTATTCATGATGAATTGCCAAACCAAACTGAGAATAAATCACTTAACAGCTGTTAAATCGGTCGCCATCTTGAACAGTAATGCCAACTTAAAGTTCTATACAATAATTATTACTATTGTCATTATGTTTTTTCTTGCAGAAAAAAACTTACACCAAGATACCTTCCTACCAAACAACCCGATCGACCAGATAAGTCCAATGGGCAAACTCATTCCATTAAGATTGCTGCATAATAAAAGTATAATTACGTACTTACACGAGGAGAGAAAGAACACACCTTGAGGCTGAAGATGTCAGATTGGAGAAATGTCGACATCAGGATCACTTTTAGCAGTGTCAACTTCGAAAGTAGGCAGTAGATGAATTATTAGCTAAGATGATTAATTATTGAACTTGGAATCAAGCTTGATTTTAAAGAACATCCATGCAAATACTATTGATTTTGAATATATTTAACGTGAAATATAGAAAATACATGTTTTAATTTAATTTTCGAATAAGTTTATTATAATTAATTTAATTCGCTTTGGTTTGTGTCATTAAAAATATGAGTCAATATTCTTATATGTGTTATGAGATAACACCTTATCTCAAAAGTTGTTTGAATTTACTTATAAATTTAAATTATGATATTGTTATATATATATATATATATATATATATATATATATATATATATATATATATATATATATATATATATATATATATATATATATATATATATATATATATATATATATATATATATATATATATATTCTCACGTATTGATTCCTGCAGGATTCCAGTCGGATGCAGGATTCCAGTCGGAGTTCAACGAGCGAACGGATGATATCCCGGAATATAGTGTCATCATATATACATATATATATATATATATATATATATATATATATATATATATATATATATATATATATATATATATATATATATATA